AAGTAGGATTGCTCAACCTTCCTTCCAAGGAGTGGCTGGTGGGTTTGAACTGGCAGCCTTCTGGTTAGTAGTTAAATGCCACCAGAGCTCCCATGATGAGATATAGAAGAGATTAAAAAAGCAAACTAAGAAGCAGAGATGTGGGAAAAGAGATACCAAACCACATGAAGACTGCCCAGGAGCAGAAGCTCAGAAGAGACAAAAACATTCCTCCAGAGTAGAAGAGAGACAGACAGACTTCTTCTAGAGCTGATACCCTGAATCTGAACTTCTAGCCTCCTAAACAGTGAAAATATAAATTTCTTTGTTAAAATAAAAAAAAAAAAAAAAAACACCTTAAAGTGTGCATAACTTTTGACTCAGCAAAATGTGTATCCTCTTTGACTAAGGAATTTATCCTAACAACAAAGGATGTACATAAAATATTTACCAGAATATTTGCTGCAGTGTTATTTTAATAGTGAAAACTTGAGGGAATGGCACATTAGATGTTAAAATTTGAGAGTTGGCTGGAGGGTATGTTTATTGTTAGATGCTATCATGGTGAAAAAAAAATTACGATGTAGAATATATAGAAACACGCAGCATTGTTCATTATGTGGTAAGTGGGGGAAATAAGTTGACGAAAGAATGTGCACAGGATGATCCCAATTATGTAAAACCTAAACCCAAAACAAATTATATGCAAATGAGTAAAAAATGTCTGCAAAGATAAAAGTCAAAATGTTAACAACGTTTATGTCTGGAAGGCGATTTTAATTTTTTTTTTTATTTGCCTGCCTTTTTCACAATGTGTATTATACAGGTTTTATTTTTGTAAACAGAAATAAAAATTAAGAACGTCTGTCCAGGGAAATCTTCTGGTCCAGGATTTCCCTGTTTTCTTAGCTTTCAATCACACACCTTCGCATCCATATCGCAAGCTTGTCTTCCTCATCAAAATACTGCGCTTCTGCTTGTACAAGACGTCGCCGCTTTTCCAGGCCCTAGTTGTGCGCTCTGGACAATGCGTGTCCTCAGAAGGCAAGAAGGGGTTTCAGGGCGAACCAAACACAGCGAGTACTTCTTTAAAACTTTTTCAGGACAAAGCAAACGCAAGGCATAGCCACATTTGACCAAGAACTTAGAAACCTGCATCATGGAAGTTGGATGCAGCAAGTGTACGAGACTCACAATCTCGCTGGCGCCGTCCGGTTTTTGTTTTTAATACAGAAAATAGTATCACAGCCCCATGTGCCCACCCCAGGAGTGCACCGAGAGCGGACGGGCTTGGTTGCCCCGACCATGGGGTACACAGCCCAGGGGGTCCGCTCGTCCAGGGTCCAGTGCTCCCTCTCAATACCGTACACCCAAGCAGGCTCCTTATCCTCCTTAGCGTGGCCCTATCCACCGCTACTCTAGTGCACAGCCAGCCGTCTTAACCCCGGAGCCCATTAGGGGCCAGCCGAGTCTTCTCCACCCAACTCCCCACCAACGAGAGGAGCGCCTAGAGCAGCCCGGCCGCCGGCCCGGCCGCTCCGCTCCTCCCAACCTCCTCTATCCCGGAAGTTGATGCCCAGCGCCAGATCGCTCCGTGTGCGCCAGAGGTGTCGCCTTAGTTGTGAACGGGCTGGGCTGGAGAGAGAATCAACATGCCTGTGAGTTGCTTACTTTGGGCTGTGGGTTTGTTTCGGACTTCTTTGTCTGGTGAAGGATGAGGGAGTGGGTTAGCCCAACGGGTCCCCGAGCCCACAGAGCTCTTGGCGGTCGATGGTGAGAAGGCTCCGATCGCGCAGCTCTTTCGCGCGTGGCGGACTTGTTGTGACTTGCCCGGGCAGTGCACCGTGTCGGGCCCTGCCTGGGCGTGGAGTGGGGAAAACCCGAAGCCGCCCTGGACTGCTGTCTGGAGATGGTGGCTAGGAAGGGAGCAGTTCCCAGAGTAATTACTCAGTCCGCTTGGTTTTTGGTGGATGCCCCTGAGTTTGAGATCTTTGGGAGTCTTGCCTTCCTCGCACTTCAGGGGTGTCACCCCCTCCCCCCGCCTTCTATTGGAGGCGATTTTCTGCGTGTTTTTTTTTTTTTTTTTTTTTGGTTGTTTAAGTCTACGTAGTTGCCTTACACATTAATTCCAGCAAGGGCGGTTACGCTGCTACTCAAAGAGATCAGATCAAATATTGAACCCTAGGGCCAGAAATCACGTTATCGTTCTTGTCTACCTCAGCGATTTCTGCCAAAGCAATCCAGGGTCAGTCACATTCTTATTTAGCCCCACAGTTGTCTTTATTGGAAATCTTACTCAGTTGAGGAAAGAAGAACGGCATTAGCTTTACCATATGGTTTCCGGTCGTCATAAAGCCCTTTTATAGAGATTTCAAAAAAAACCAAACCCACTGTCCCTGGGTCGATATCGACACTAGGCGATCCTGAAGAACAGAGTAGAGCTGCCCCGGAGGGTTTCCAAAGCTATAAATCTTTACGGAAGCCGACTGCCTGTGTTCTGGGAGCTGCTGGTGGGTTGGAACCAGCGATCTTTCGGTTGGCTGCTAAGCCCTTAACCCTGAGCCACCAAGATTCCTTTTTACTTGGAGAAGGCAAATATAAAAAGTATTGGTGAAAGTTAGTAAAAATAAATAAATAAATAACAACTGAAGTGTTCTTGCCTCTGCTGAATATTCTTTTTTTGGATGTAATAATATGTATTTTTATTTTTAAAATTCAGTTGGCTAGAGATTTACTACATCCGTCCTTGGAAGAGGAAAAGAAAAAGCATAAAAAGAAACGACTAGTTCAAAGCCCAAATTCTTATTTTATGGATGTAAAATGTCCAGGTAAAATTTAAAATCGTAATTCCTTTCTGAAGGAAAATTTCTATAGGGATTGCTAGCATGGAGTGTATGTTTAGATATGTTAGGACCCTCTGTTAAGTAGAAGTGGGATTACAAAATTGGAAATGTCATAAGGGACATTTCACAATAATTGTATTAAAACCAAATCCGTAAGAAACATTTTGGGGGTGAAGGTGGGAATCCAAAAGAGATAATGGTATTTGACTTACTAGTCCTAAAGCTTTTCAACTGAGCAGTTTCTTTTTCATGATTTAACGAAAAAGTATGTTGATTTTTCACTTTAATGTTGTGCTGCCCAGTTATGGGGGCCATTAGCCATATGTGGCTATTGAGCACTTGAAATGTGGCTAATCAAAATGGAGTGTTCTTAAAGTGTAAAATGTATACCAGATTTTGAAACTCTACTATGGAAAAGAAAACATTGATTATAGACTGAAATTATATTTTGGATAATTAATATATATATTTTTTCTTTTTAAAATGCAGCTACTAGAAAAGTTAGTTACATACTTGGCTTGCTACTGGATAGTGCTAAAGTTCTTAATCATTTACAGAGTCTTTATTAGAAACATGTTTAACAAGGACTGTGGTTTTTTTTTTCCACTTTAACATTGCTTTTTTTTTTTTTTTTTAAGGTTGCTACAAGATTACTACAGTTTTCAGCCATGCCCAGACGGTGGTTCTTTGTGTAGGTTGTTCAACAGTGTTGTGCCAGCCTACAGGAGGAAAAGCCAGACTCACAGAAGGTATAAGACAGTTTTTATCATTGCCAGCTAAGCAAGAGATGAACAGAGGTTTATTTCTATGAAAATTATGTAATGATTAGTATTAAAACCTAATTATCATTTCTCTTTCATATTACTGCAGTAAGAAAAAACAAAACAATTACGTGCATCATTTTCCTGTACTGTCAAATTCCATATATTGTAGATTTATAATACTATATTTGTGATTTCTTGTGATATTTTGTGGAGCTCTGAATTCCATGTTCTTAACTGGAAGTTACAAGAGGATTGGCAACAAATCCAACATCTATTTTGTATGACTTGGTGAAATCGAAATATGGAGTCAACATATAGTAGTATATTGACTTCAGAAGATAAATTTAAGAGCAGGAATGGTCTTAAAAATATACTTGTGTAAGATTTCTGAGACCTTTAAGTCATTCCAAGATTTTGGAATTTTGTGCCCATTTGCTAACAGATGGTGAGAAGAGGATGACCAGACCAGTTTTCCTAATAGTTTTGAAAAGACCCTAATCAAAATTACTGTCTTAAGTATTCAGAATAGTCCCCAAAAATTAAAGAGTGTGTCTTCTGACAGCTTGCATTAAAGAGTTCTAACTGTTGAATTTAGGTTCATGGTCTTAAATAAATTCCATTGTAACATTTGAGGGACAGGAGTAACAATTATAGTCACATTACAGTAGACTCAGATTTAATAGAATTATTATAGCAAATTTCTGGTATAAAAGGGTAAATAACCTGTATGTGAATATTAACAATACTTCTAAATCTAAGGTTTTGTTTTGTTTTTTTACTGAAAATGTACTTTGTTTCACTAAAACTATACTAAAGATAGAGTTGTTTAATATACTCTTGTGATTGCTTTGCAGGTTGTTCATTTAGAAGAAAGCAACACTAATGCTCCATACAACTTTCTGAAATTGTTTTGTCACACAAAGCCTTATCAAAATTCTAGTTAATCTACAAGATAATCTAATTAGTTTTTTTTGTAAAATACACGGCATTGATCTCCTATTTTGATGTTAGTTTTTTCAATAAAGTTTTGATTATGGGAAAATCCTCTTTCTTCCTTTCTTTTTTGTATGTGTGGGTATGTTAGACATTTATATATACTATGTGAATTTGGTTTACACATTAAAAGATATATTTTGATGAGTTTGTGTCTCATAAGAATAGAAACCCTAAATTTTTAAGTCCTTTCCAAATTGCTATGAACAGGACTAAATGATTACAAATGGAAAGAAATCCATTAGTAGTTAACTATAAAGTTTTGCTATTGTGACCATAAAAACACATGGAAGTGCAGTAAAACTTGTGAAAGAACCTGTGTAAGGCAGAAACCTGTTAGGGAAAATGCTTTCCACTAAAATAAGCAATAGAAAAGTGGTAAGACTGTACCCTGTAAAAGGCTGAAAATTTGTGAGATTCAGAAAAACAAAGCAGTCCTGTCAAGTCTGGCTCACACAGGTTTCGATGTACTTAATTCAGTAACTGTCACAATGTAGTTTAAGGATCTTGGAACATCTAGGTGGGCCCAATGAAATCACATAAGAGAGCGGCAGTAGAGTCAGGGAAAGGAGAATGTGATAATGGAAGCAGAAGTTTGGGTGATGTGGAGCCATGAACCAATGAATGCAGGCAGCCTCTAGAATCTGGAAAAGGCAGAAACAAATTCTCCCCTAGAACCTCCAGAAAGAATACAGCCTTATTGCCACCTGGATTTCAGCCATTGTTGTTAATGTGCGGTCGAGTCGACCCTGACTCATAGCGACCCCTCCTTGGGTTTCCAAGGCAGTATCACTACGGAAGTAGGATTGCCCAACCTTCCTTCCGAGGAGTGGCTGGTGGGTTTGAACCGCCAGCCTTCTGGTTAGCAGTCAAGTGCTTTAGCCACTATGCTACCAGAGCTCCTGATAGGAGACCCATTTTAGACTTCTGACTTGCAGACTTTAAGATAATTTGTGGTGTTTAAACCTGACATCTTGAGTTCAAAGTGCCACCTCTAACAGCTGGGTGACAACTCAACCTTGGACTTTAGCTCTGCCTCTTACTCCCATCCCACTGGAGCTGGAGGTGTCTCTTCACTCAGGCAGCTGCTGGCTGCTGAGGCTTGCAAACTCAAGGTTGACAAAATGGCACAGTCCCAAGATTATCAAACAACAGGGCAGGCTACTAGTTCCAGTTCAGAGACAGTCCCAAGATTGGCAGGAAACATGGCAGGCTGATGAATGAAGGCTTGGCTACATGCAGGGTCCAAGCATGCCAAAAAGCTGCAGAGATCTTTCTCAAAACATACTGGAAGCAGACCACATCCCTAATGCAGCTACTCAGGTGCTGCAGTAGATTCCACCATGGAGTTGATTACCAGTCTCATCATGGGAAATAACTACATCCAGCTGCCCAACCACTCAAAACCAGGCCCAGTCAAGTTGCCACACAACTCAATAACCAAAAAACCAAATTTGTTACAGCAGCAGCAGGAAAATAATACATGGTCCAAATATTTAGCCCTATCTCCAATAGACAAAAAAGAAATTAAAGAAAAGCAATTGAGAAGGAATTCAAGGATTACAGCAATTATCCTGATTTCTTTCCATTCACTAATGCATCAGTAATCATAAGCATATTAGACTAAGAGTGATACAGTGAAACCTGTGAGAGCCGGAACTCAAAGGAACCTGCCTGTTCTGAGTCTTGCCAGTTTTCTGCATTCAACATGGTACAGCTTACCAATTTTCTATCACTTGTTTTTAATGGAAAACATTTGTTTTCCTTCTCTGACAGGTTTCTGCCTTACAGAGGTTCCCGCTTTCAGAGATTTTACTGTAATCATCAAAATGGCAAAAATTTAGAGACATTTTGCCAGAAGAATGGAGAAGGGGAAGGATATTTTCCTATATCGATGGTGGAAAGCAATCTATTATCACCTGTTAGCATTAAAAATAGTTACCTTTCCAACATGCAATGCCACACCTGTAAGTCTATCTTATAGCAATAAAATCACCACTATTAAGGACATATTTAAATATATAATAGCATTGTCTATGTGGTAGTTAAGGTTGTGTATCAGCTTAGCTGGGTCGTGGTTTTGTGTGGCTTGGCAGCTGACTGTAGTTACTCCCTGTGATGAGATTGTAATCACCTCCATGGTGGAATCTGCTGTGAGCAGCTAAGTAGTTGAAAGGGAGTTACCTTTGGGGTGTGGGCTGCTTCTAGTATATATGGAAAAGCTTTGGGAAAGGTCTTGAGCTTTTTGGCACATTTTGGGTTGTGCATTTGACTGAGTCTTCATCTCCAGTTCCTGGACTTGAACCAGTGGCCTGCCGTGTTGCCCTCTGATATTAAGATTGTGCCATTTTACCTGCCAATCTTGGGTTTGTCAGCCTCAGCAGCCAGTAGCTGTCTGAGTCCTGACTCCAGCTCCAATGGGTCTGGAACTAGAGGCAGGGCTGAAGCTCAAGGTTGAGGGGCCTTCACCCAGCCCCTAGAGCCAGCACTCTGCATTTGGACTTCTAGCCTCCTAAACTATAAGAGAATAAATTCCTGTTTGTTAAAGCAATCTACTTGTGGTATTTCTGTTATAGCAGCATAAGAGAACTAAGACAGTTTGTAAGGGGTGGGAGCAGGGGACGGGGAGACTAGGAACAATATGAAAATGATGAATAAGTTCAGGAATTTCCACACCATAAAGTACTATGCAGCATTAAAAAGAAGTAGAGAATGCTGTGAGAATCCTACATCACACCATCTAAGAATTTAAATGGATCAAACCTAAGTATAAGAACTAAAACTATAAATCTCTTAGAAGAAAACATAGGCATGAGTCTTTGTGACCTTGGGTTAGGCAATAGTTTCTGATATAATACCCAAAACATAAGTAAAAAAAAAGAAAAATTAGACTTCATCAAAATTAAAATGAAAATGCCAGAAAATGGGATAAAATATTTATAGAACATATATATCTTAATAGACATTTCTCCAAAGAAGATACCAATGGCCAATAAGCACATGTGAAGATGTTCTATGTTGTTAGTTATTAAACTGAAACCAAAATCAAACTCACTGCCTTCGAGTTGATTCGACTCATAGTGACCCCTCCTTGGGTTTCTGAGGCGGTGTCTTTACAGAAGTAGATTGCCCAATCTTTCTTCCTAGGAGTGGCTGATGGGTTTGCACCTCCAGCCTTCTGGTTAGCACTCAAATGCCTTAGGCACCATGCCACCAGAGCCATTTACATGAAATGTCCAGAATGGGAAAATCCATAGAGATAGAAAATAGGTTCTTGGTTGCTGGGGACTGAGATGGGAGGTTGGATGGGAAGGAAGAGGAAATGACTGTGGTTTTTTTCTGGGGTGATAAAAATGTTCTGGAATTAAATAGTGGTGATGGTTGCACAACTTTTACATATACTAAGACCCACTGAATTTTACACTTTAAAAAGGTGGATTTTATGGTATGCAAACTGTGAATTATATTTCAATACTTTAAAAAAAAAAAAAAAAAAAAGCACTCAGCTCCTAACCAAAAGTTGGCAGTTTGAATCCATCAGCTCTGGGAGAAAGATATGGCAGTCTTCTTTCATAAAGATTACAGCTTTGGAAACCCTAAGGGGCAGTTCCACTCTGTCCCATGTGTTGTTATGACTCATAATCAACTTGAAAGCAATGAATTTGGTTTTTTGGTTTTAGTACAGATTTTTGTGGCTGGAAGTAGAGTGCTATTATAACAAAAATCTAAAATACAGGAGTGGATTTTGAATGGAGCAGTGGGTAGAATTTGGAAGGACTTAAAAAAGTGTTGATGAAATTCTTTAGAACCTTGAAAAAATTGTTTAGAAGCTTATGAGAAGGCTACAAATGTGGACTTAAAGGAAAATCTTTTTGGAAATTGGAGGAAAGGCGATTCATGTTATGTCGTGGTAGAAAGTTTTGCAACACTGCCACCTGCAGTAACATGGAAAGTAGAAAATATGCCTAATGAACTGAGTGATCTAGCCAAGATTTGCAGACACAGTGTTGAATGTGTGCCTCTTGGCTTCCTGCTACTTATACTAAAATGCAAGAGAAAGATGAAGTAAAGGAAGACTTATTAAACAAAAGGTGTCAATATTTGATGGTTTTAAAACTTCCCAGTGTCTCCAGATGACAAATGATCCAAAAATTAAGAAAAAATTTCAAGGCAAAGATAGAATCTAGGGTACTGCCAGGAAAACATGGTCTAAATATGAAATCAAAGGTGTGACTGTAAAATTTTTTACGACTTCAAAAAGAACCAAGATGGTGCCTCAGTGAGCCATTCAAACAATAGGACTTCTTAGATGCTATGAATGTTTTCTCTCAATTGTCTCAGCAGAAGCCCAAGTCTGAGAAGGGCTCTCCTTAATGTGATTTTTGGTGTGGACTTGAAAGGACAGTGGCAGTACAAAGTGGAAAGAGGGCTTTGGACTCCCAAACTTTGACAGGCAAGCAGCAAGCTGACTGCAAACACATGCTACTTCTCATGAAAAAGGGAAAGATAACTTAGAGGGCAGAAACAAGAGCCCAGAGAGCAGAGCCAAAGACCAAGGAGAATCATTTCCAAACTGAGTACTAATCAAGGAGCTGTTAACCTGTGTCCAGTTGGGTTTCAGAAATTCTATGGCCAGCAGCTCCTTTATGCCTTCCATTGCCCCGTTTTTTGAACAGGAGTCTTGTTATGTGCCGTCGAGTCGGACCCGACTCATAGTGACCCCTCCTTGGGTTTCTGAGGCAGTATCACTACGGAAGTAGATTCCCCAACCTTCCTTCTAAGGAGTGGCTGGTGGGTTTGAATTGCCAGCCTTCTGGGTAGCAGTCAAGTGCCTTAGGCACTACGCTACCAGAGCTCCTTATAGCAGTTATATGTGTCTCACCATTGTATGTTGCATATGTAGGGAGCGGATTACTTGTCCCTTTATTTCATAAGTCTGCATATCAAGAGGACTTGTAGTCAACTTGGTGTACTTAAGGGACTACCTCAAGGAGCCTCCTTCATACCCAGACGTGATTTAGATGACAGGATACTGGACTTTGAGCTGATACTATAATGGGATGAAACTTATGGGGGCCTTGGGAACAGGTAAGTGTATTTTACATGGGGAGGGACATGAAAAATTAGGACCAGAGGATATATACTATGGTAGTCAACCTCCAAGATGACCCCTAAAGATCTCCATCTCCTGATATTCACATCCTTGTGAAGTTTCTCCAACATTGTATCAGGGTTGGTCTACATGACCTATAGAATAAGGAAAGTGATGGTATGTGACTTCTGATGCCAGATTATAAAAGACATTGACTTCTATCTTATCCTCTTGGATCATTTACCCTGGAGAAAGCCAACTGCAATACCGTTAAGATATTCTAGCAGCCCTATAGAAAGGCCCATATGGTAAGAAAGCGAGACCTCTTGCCAACAGCTAGTGAGAAACAGAGGACTAGTGCCAAGAGCCATGTGAGGGAGCCATCTTGGAAGCATATCCTCTAGCTCCAGAGAAGCCTTCAAATGACTGCAATCTTGGCCAACATCTTGTCTGCAACCTCATTAGAGACTGTGCCAGACCCACCCAGCTAAGCTACTCCCCAAGTTCTGAGCCACTGAAACTGTGAAATAATGTTTGTTGTTTTAAGATGATAGTTTGTTATGCAGCAATAGGTAACTAATATACCATTCTCATAAATAAATTTATGCTGTCATTTTAAAAGAACAATATCTGGAAGTTTCTGTTGAATGGGATTTTCTCTATATTACAATGTTCAAAAGCACATATTTTTAATCAGAATATTTTATTTCAAGTGTTAACACTTTTTCCAAAAGTAAAAACAATACAGATACCTCCCTGAGTATAAAGAACTAATCCTACAATAGAAGACACTTACAAAATTAAGCAATTAGAGGTACATAATTCTCTGCATTCAATTATATTCTATTAAAAAATGTATTCTTAAAAATCTCATGTCTTTAGGGACTTCAATGTTTCCAAAAAGAAAAAAAAAAAAGAAGAAAAGCCAAACAGCTCATTCTGCACCTGTGATCTGAAGGTGTCAATCTGATCTGTCTTTATCAAATTCCAGAGCAATCTTTAAGGCAGTGCTATTGAGGCCAACAGATTGCATGTTGCATATGATAGAAACAACTATCCCTCTTGGGGGAACCTTGTTATTTGTGGCTTCACTATCCAGTTCTTCAGGAAGAACCAGCAGGACACTGCTGGCACCCACTGCACCTCCAGTATGAGAGGCATAATGTCGCTGCTTCCTACAAGAACCGTATGTTTGCTTCTTTTCCACAACACCCCATGCCATTGCATATTTACCCTCTTTATCCCAAGACATCTCTGTATTAGGGACTGGTGTCCAAATCATAGCCATTGTTTCTGGTTTGAGATATCCAGGTAAAAGATTTTCATTTGAGTTCTTAAACAGTCCAACTTGGTAACCATACAGCATTGCATTTCCAAACTTCAGAAGGTCACCCACTGTAGATAGAAATCCACCACCAGCCCATTTATAGGAGTTATCCACATAAGGTGTGTTGACAAGTCGTTTCTTTTTATTGTAAACATAAAATCTAAAAAGAAATAAGAATAGTTATTAACACTTTAATATTCTCCCACTGATTTTACACATGATATGAAAAGAAAATGGGTATATAAAACAAAGTGTACTTCAATGTAGTGATCATACAGTTTCAGAACTAATCACTAATTTTCAGTGTGATTCAGATACTAATAAAGCACAGACAACAGAGTAAGCTAATCAAATAACCTTGTGAATTAAAGTATAAAACTGGGTTGTTTTTTTCTATTGACATGGCTTGCCATGTCAATAGAAAAAATAGAGGGAATATAATTCTCTGCATTCAATTCAACTTTTAATACCTGAAAAAATGTACTGGTTAATATCACAGGACATATTTTCCCTGTGAATATGCAGAAACACCTATAAACCAAAAAGCCAAACCCACTCCCATCGAGTTGATTCCAACTCATAGTGACCCTATAGGACAGAGTAGAACTACCCTATAGGATTTTCAAGGCTGTAAATCTTTAGTTTGCCTCTGTAAAGGCAAACTGCCCTTCTTTCTCTCACAGAGCAGCTAGTGGGTTCAAATTGCCGACCTTTTGGTAAGCAGCCAAATGCCTTAACCACTCCACCACTTAGAAACACCTATAGTTGGGTAGTAATTCCTAGTCCTTGTGCATAATGTTGAATCATGTGCCCCAAGTAACTTTTGTAACTAAAAGTGTGTACATTTACCACCTTGGAAACCCAAAGGGGGTCAGTATGAGTTGGAATCGACTGGATGGCAGTGAGTTTTTTGTTTTTCAAGCTTAAAGTTCGTATTTGCAAGGAGACTAGATCTGCTGGACAAAAATCCCATGTAATTTACCTGTGTAATGATGTGACATGGTCCTTTCTTGGTGTAGTGGGAAAGGCTAGAGTTGGCAGACCTCACTTTGAATCCCAGCTCTAACCCTTTAGTTGTTACTGTTATGTGCTGTCAAGTTGATTCCAAGTCACAGTTACCCTACAGGACAGAGTAGAACTTCCCCATAGGGTTTCTAAAGCTGAAATCCTTACAGAAGCCGAGTGCTACATCTTTCTCCCACAGAGTGGCTGGTGGGTTTGAACTGCCAATCTTCTTCTGGTGAGCAGCTGAGAGTTTAACCATTGAGCCACCAGAACTCATTTCACCCTTACTAGCTATATAGGGTTTCTAAAGCTGAAATCCTTACAGAAGCCGAGTGCTACATCTTTCTCCCACAGAGTGGCTGGTGGGTTTGAACTGCCAACCTTCTTCTGGTGAGCAGCTGAGAGTTTAACCACTGAGCCACCAGAACTCATTTCACCCTTACTAGCTATGCTTATTTAACACTTACATGGTTCTTAATATGTACCAAGTATTATAAAACCAAACCAAACCAAACCCACTCCGTCGAGTCAATTCTGACTCACAGAAACCCCCACAGGGTTTCTGAGACGGTTAATCTTTATGGAAGTAGATTGCTGTGATGGTTATGTTTGTACGTCTACTTGGCTAGGCCTGGTTGAGTGGCTGGGCAGCTGAATGTAGTACTCCCCATGATGAGACTGGTAATCAGCTCCATGGTGGAATCTACTGGGAGCAGCTAAGTAGCTGCCTTAGGGAATGTGGTCTGTTTCCTGTATATAAGGAGATGCTTTGAGAATGGTCTCTAGCCTGTGGCACGCTTCGACACTGCATGTAGCCATGTTGTTGCTCAGCAGCCTGCCGTGCTCTGCCGACCTTGGAACTTACAATGGACTTAAGCTAATGGCCTGCCGTATGGTCTGGTAACATCGGGACTGTGCCATTTTACTTGTCAACCTTGGGGCTTCTCAGCCTCAGCAGCCAACAGCTGTCTGAGTGAAGAAATGCCTCTAGCTCCAGTGGGCTGGGAACAGGAGGCAGAGCTGGACCCCAAGGTTGAGGGGCTTTCACCCAGCCCCTAGAGCCTGGCACTTTGAACTTGGACTTAAAGCCTCCAAATTGTAAGAATAAACCCCTGTTTGATAAGGCCATCCCATTTGTGGTATATTTTCTCGTCAGAGCAGCACCAGGTAACCACAACAATTGCCCAGTCTTGCTTCCATGGAGTGGCTACTGGGTTTGAACCACCAACCTTCTGGTTAGCAGTCAGATGCCCTAGGCATTGTGCTACCAGAGTTCCTTAAGTCTTATAAGAACTATACAAATATGCACTAATTTATTCTTGTGACAATGTTAGGTGGTAGGTATTGTTATAATCCCCATTTTACTGATGAGAAAACAGCACAAAGAGTAGAAATAATTTGTCTAAAGTTATATAGCTTGTAAGTTGCAGAGGTAGATTCAAACCCAGGCAGTCTGGCATCCCTATTCTATGCTGCTTTTCTGCCTCAGCATCCTAATTTGTAAAATTATAAAAATACCTACTTGGCAAAGTTGTTGTAAAAGTTATGAATATATGCATAAAGCACTTAGCACATTTCTAGGGTACTTAAAATGAAATTTGGCCGATGATGATCCTTTCAAGATTCACAAAATGCTTTTGGATTTTCAGTTTGCTGATTCTCTCTCCTCTTATGATCTTCATCTTCATCTTCATTCTACCTAAGCATAAGCACTGTCAAACTTGAACCTCACCCTCACTTTAAACTTTTATTTCTAAGGTCTCACACTCAGAAATTTCTTCCCATCACCAGGAGTTCCAGTCCTTCGGACGCTCCTCTACTAAACCTGCCCTCTCTACCCTCATGATTTCCATCTATTTCCTTTGCCTCTTCCCTATTTTCTTGAGTATTTTAATTGCTAGTGACTCCACTTGCTTTCTGCTGTAGCTTGAATTATGTGATCAGCCATTTCAACCATCTCAACTGTAGTCTCATTAGAACCTTTGTGTTCTTCACTCTTTTACACTATTGTTGTTGTTATGTCCCGTGGAGTCGGACTCGACTCATAGAGACCCCTCCTTGGGTTTCCAAGGCAGTATCACTACAGAAGTAGGATTGCCCAACCTTCCGTCCAAGGAGTGGCTGGTGGGTTTGAACCGCCAGGCTTCTGGTTAGCACTCAAGTGCCTTAGTCACTAAGCCACCAAAGCTCCTTTATGGTTAGCAGTCAAGTGCATTAACCATTTACACCACCCAGGGACTATACATATAAGTGTACGTGCATGCACGCACACACACACACATCTATATACATACACACACAAATACATACAACCAAAAACCAAACTCACTGCTGCTGAGTCGGTCTGACTCATAACAACCCCTTCTTGTGTTTCTGAGGCAGTATCTCTACAGAAGTAGATTGCCCAATCTTCCTTCTGAGGAATGGCTGGTGGGTTTGAACCGCCAGCCTTCTGGTTAGCAGTCAAGTGCCTTAGGCACTATCCTACTAGGGCTCCCCTTTTACATTATACTGATCTACAAATCCTCAATAAATCTACATAGCCCTGTCCTTGCTTAATCTGCTAAGAAAGGCTGCAGAAATTTACATAACAAAACTCACTAACTCCACTTCATACTCTTGTTAAGGGTTTTCATTGCTGTTATCAAATCTTTTCATTCTTCTGTTTATTCCTTGGTACATTCTTCAAAATACTTATTCCCAATCTCTTCTACTCTCGATCCTCTACCCCCACCCTCAATCTCTGTCATCAGATAACAAAATTTTTTGTTTTATTGAAAGAATTGAGAAAGAGAGCTAGAATTTCCATTATTATCTCAAATATATTTACATCATCCATTCTTTTCTCTTTCTCTCTAGTCATTTAAGAAAATTTCCTGTTGCTTCTAAGACTAATTCCACTACCTGCATCTTTGTTCAATCTTGCTCCACCAGTTATACTTCTTAGAGTATTTTATCTCCATGTAGTCTATTCTCCACACACAAGCTAAAGAGTATGTCTCCTGCTTCTCCCATCTATTTGAAACCCTCTAATGGCTACCACTGCAACGAGAATATAACCACAACTTCTTATCATGGCCTACAAAACAATCAGTTGTCCTTAATAGAGGTAATACCAATCCCTGAGGGAAATTTTTGGAGATACATTTTTTAGCTGCCACAATTATTAGAGGGCTCTATGACACTCAATTGATAGGGGTCTAAGGTCTTAAATGTTCTGTGATGCATGGAGCAGTCTCACACAATGAGCACCCTCCCACATCCTACAAGACTTTAAAAATATTCCACAGATATTCATGGAAATAAAACACATCTATGAATAGCCAGCTGAGGCAAGAATCTTCTCCATTTTACATATAAAAAAAGGTACCTTTTGCACATTTTTACTATACCATGGATTTTTTTAATGTAATTACTGTGAAAACAGAAAAAAGACCAAACTTAACTTGTCCCAAACTTTACCCAGAGTTGGTCACCAGTTTAGAAAACCATGTCACTAAGAGCTAAGTTGAGACCTATACAATCCACCTGTATCAATCTGTATTGTTACCTGTCACATTTAAAGTGCTTTTATGTATTAAGCTGTACCTGGCTACTTTTATTATGTCTTGTAACACTGCAGTGAATAAACTTGAACATGTTGAGAACATATATTATTCATTATAAATTATATTTCTTTTATTTCTTCTTTATATTTCAGTTAGAGTATTGTCTGTTTTTAGAATTATGAGTGTAGTTTATATGATCTATGACTTTCATTTCAGTGTATTAAAGGAAGCATTATGAAATACTGTAAGGAGCACTGGGTCTAATGACATTGAGACTTACTGTCCAATATGATTTAGAACCTACTTTTTACCTCATTATTTATACCACTGGGAGCTCTGGCAGCATAGTGCCTAAGGCATTGACTGCTAACCAGAAGGCTGGCGGTTCAAACCCACCAGCCACTCCTTGGAAGGAAGATGGGGCTATCTGCTTCTGTAATGATACTGCCTTGGAAACCCAAGGAGGGGTCGCTATGAGTTGGGTCCGACTCGACGGCACATAACAACAACAACAACATTTATACCACCACCTTGCCTTGCCTTTTATGTCAGGTTTATTTCTGTACTCGCAACAAGGCAAGCTAGCTCTTCTTATCATTCATGCCTC